CTGTTTAGATGCCTTCTTTTAAAAAAAATAAGTTATAAAAAAAAATAAAAAATCTATTTTTTTAAAATTTAAAAATTTTAGCTTATAAAAAAAACAGAAGTGAAAAGTCACATATTTTTTTAAAATCTAAATATTTTTTTAAAAATCTAAATAGCTTTAACTTTTATAAAAAAAAGGGAAAAATGTTTGTCATTTTAAATGACAGAAAATTGTGTCATTTTAAGAGAGATACAGACACAAAAAATTTGAATTTTAAATTAAAAAAAACTATCCACTTTCTCTCTTCCATGATTTCCGTTTTTCTGTGTCTATCTCTTTCCTAAAATGACATAACTTATGTCATTTAAAATGACAAACACCAAATCCTTATAAAAAATATTAAATAAGGCATAAAAAGAAATTTTTTTTTTTGGAAGTCCATCGAAACAAGTTAATCCTTGTTAATGTATTAAATCATCTGTCACAAACAATTACAAAATCAACCATATATTTTGGTCCCCCTTGCTGCCAAATTACGTGGAACTTTATTGAGCTCAAAATAGGATATATATATATATATATATATATATATATATATATATATATATATATATATATATATATATATATATATATATTTTTGGAGTTATCCAACCCTAATTATCTCTCTGAGACAAAATAGGATATATATATATATATATATATATATATATATATATATATATATATATATATATATATATATTTTTGGAGTTGGCTCCCTCCAGTATCCCTACGAGCTTCGACTCTTTGAGCCGGCTATGAGACTAATCCGGAGTGCGGGGAAACAGTGATGGCTAAAGGTTCAGCCCCCTCTCCAAGAATGCATTCAGCGGGAATCGAACACATATCCAAAATAGTATATCTTATTTCCCAAGAATCCTTATATATATTTTTTTTGGTGAAGCAAAATAGCATATCTTATTTCCCTACTTGTGCTTTGGACTATCCGAAAAATGAAATCATTTATCTGCATTAACGGAGTTTGTGAAATAATTATTTTTAAATGATATATAATATTAATATTTTTATAATTATGTGATTTATTTTTTGGAAAAAAAATTTCAACTTAAAAAAGATGGTTTTATATATGGGAAAAATATTTCTCCAGTCAATGGAGATAAGTTTATCTTCAGTGAGCTTAAAACGACGTCGTTTTAGGTTATAAAATTAAAAAATTATAATTATAAAGACTAATATAACCCTACAATATATTATAATTACAAAAATACTCTGATTTCTGTCTCAAAACGACGTCATTTTGAACTCATCGAAAATAATTTATCTCCATTAATTGGAGAAATCCTTTACCCTTTATATATTATTCATGTTTTAATTTTAAAGAAAAAAAAAATATTGCACGTGTGGACATGTTTGAACATGAACTCTTTCATGTGCGGCAGCGTGAATTACGGCCAACGGGCCGCTCTAGAACTCGGCACAACCAGCATTTGCAAACGGGAGCCATCTTTATTTATTAGGAGCAGGAGCTAAACGAAGGGTTCACTTTTTTTACCGTCAACAACGTAGATAATTTCTTTTACATTGAGTTCAAAATGACGTCTTTTCGAAGCAGAAATTAAAATATTTTTATAATTATAATTTATTTCAGGGTTATAATAGTCTTTTTTATTATTATTTTTTATTTTTTCAACCCAAAATGACGTCATTTTTGGAGCGAATATAGATAACTTATATACATTCTTTTTATAAACATTAAAACTCTAAATGAAATAACCTAAAATTTGGATTTTTAAAAATGGGAAAAATATACCAATAATGCAATATTGCAATGGACTAAAATTAAGTGTATGCACCCATCTCAATTACTCTCTTAAATAATGGCTTTGGCTACCAACCAGCGCAACTATGTCCCCATGCCTTGCAAGCAAGAATCAAGTTTTCCTATAAGAACAATAAAGAAATAAGTATTTTTTTTTCATATTACATGAAAAAATATATGCATCCTACACACTCATCAAAAGATGTGTTTGAGTTTTTTATTTTATTTTCAAAAAAAAATAGGTGGACCACACATGTTTTGTGTCTACAATGGGAGTGGATCTTCTCATGTGCTAATTAACATGACTATGTCATGTGGGGCAAACATAACCATATATAGATGAATAAATGGTGATAAGGGAAGAGAGAGAAAAAATATAAGGATTTAAAGTTACACAATCATCACCGTTGATTTAATTGTTAATGGTTAAGATCCTCCCACATGACATGATCATGTAAAATTACACATGAAAGAATCTATTTCCGTCTACGATATAAGAAAAGCTACCTTATATGACATGAGAATTATTTTCCCCATAAAAAAATGGGAAAAACAAGTGTTATGTAACAAGAAAACTTTTTAGTACCCTGCAAACACTTTGAAATTTGTGTTGTTATGTTTTATTTTATTTTATTTAAAAAATAATGGCAGGCTCCACTAATTGTTGTATCTGTAACATGACCTAACTAATTTCTTGTAGCATGACATACTTAAAACCCTAAAAAAATAGCCTTAAACTTGGACTTTAAAAATAAATTGTACATTCTTACCAATAGTACAATAGATTAAATTAATGAGATTAACATTTTTCGTGCAACAGGAGAAAAGTTATCTCTTACAATCTCAAAATAATATTTTTTTGGAGTTTGAAAAAAAAACTGGATATTTTAATAAAATTCATTATACAAAGAGAAAATAAAAATTTCAAAATACTCTATATTTTTCTCTAAGTCCCATAATGATGTTATTTTTGGGTTGCTGAATATAATTTTATCGGAGAAATATTTTTTCCTAAATTAACTGCATGTTGCAAAAGAAAATAAATCTTTCTATTTAAGCTTATGGTATAATAACGTGACATAAAAAAATTAATATTTATTAATTTTTTTATAAGTAATAATAAGTAAATTATTGTGAACATTCAATTTTCTCCCAAATATTTAAAAATGACAAAAAATTACAAAAGAAAAGAAAAGAAAAGAAAAAAGTTAACTTATGAACACCTATTTTTGTCCTTAAATAAGAAAAAAAGGAAAAGAGCAACCCGATAGAAGGAAAAAGGAAGGAGGATCATTTCACAATAAATAACAACATTGAGTAGGATCTGTTCCGACACCGATATCTCCTTCATCCACCGTCTGATCGAGCTGAAATTTTTTGAACAATATCTTGACTTATTTTCCTTTATATCGACCGATGGATTTCTTGATTCGATAACTATATCATTCCCATAAAATTCAAAGCCGAAACAATTCTCCTGGACGTTTTTGCAGCGAGCAGCAGTTTTGTGAGGGTCATTTCTCCCAAATGAATCGTTTGATCGTCCTAAAATTTTGTTAGTGTGTTCCTCTCATGTAATACTACAATCTGTCCGTACCGATTTCTGAACAGAATTATCTAGTGTGAGATATAGATGTCAAAAGAAGACTGATTGTTTTTTAGACCATCACACTATTTTGAGTAGCAATTTTCCGGGAGTTATTTTTCTTAATTGAACCGTTGGATTATCCTCAAATTTGGTTGATATATTTCTTTGGTATGATACTTTAATCTGACCGGATCGATTTTCAAGCTAAGCCTTATGGTGTGAGATATAGTAGTCGAAAAATGGCTGTGCACATTAAAAAAAAATAGCTTTCATAATAAGTCCCACGTTGTCCACTTCTCATTCCTCCCCCCTCCGTTCTCTCTATATAAAGAACCCATTTCCCTCCCTTCTAACACACACTTGGGCTTTATATTAAAACTTGTGTTATAGTAATATTTTTTAAAGACACTTGGGCTTGGGATTAAAACCAAGCTAGTGTTATAGTAAAAATTTCGTTTTTGAGTAGAATTAGGATGGTTTGTTAATTTAGCCGTGACGGCTTGTTAACTTAGTTATCTGTGAGGATTAATTTAGTCTTAAGGCTTGTTAACCTCAAAGTACATTTTTGGGGCATCAAGATTGTTGAGTTGAGACAGCTCTCCTCAACTTGGCTCCATATTTCAAGTTTTTTTTGTCTTTGAGGTAAGTCTGCTTACCTTCTACTTTAGTTAGTATTTGTCTATTTTTTTTGTATGTTTTTTCATGCTCTTTATTTGCTTTATTAGTTTATAATTGTTTGGTTTTTTATGCTCTTTATTTTTTTAATTTATTATTGTCTATTTTTTTGCATGTTTTTTTATGCTCTTTATTTGTTTTATTAAAATCTTTCTTATGTAGTTTATAAACTTAATTATGGATTAATTTAGCAGTGACAACTTGTTAATCTCATAATTTTTGGGTCATTTTAGTTGTGACAGCTTGATGACCCAAGCTTATTTTAAATATTATTTTGTATTAATTTATTTATTTTTTCTAATTAAGGATTAATTTAGCTGTGGCGGCTTATTAATCTCGTCGTATTTTTTGGGTTATTTTAGTTATGACAGCTTGATAATCCGAAGTCTTTGAAATGAATTTCTTTAAAATTATTTTCAAAAAGTAAAACCAACTAGTTCACAAATAATTTAGTTTTCCTAAACAATCATATTTATTTTTTAAGGGATAAAGCAAATATTTAAAAAAAAATTGTTAATAATTTGCACAATTAATTTAAGGTAATCATTTTTTGAATGGATGTGTTAGGGGTGCACTGGAATTAAGTTTCCACTGTTTTCTGCGCATAATTAAACTCCCGAACCTTGATCTAAAATTTTAAAAGACCAGTTTGTAACAATTTTTTTTTTCCAATTTTTCTTTTTAAATAAAATTGATAGCGACTCCATTATTTTATATTTTTCTATTTTCTAAATAATTTCGGGTCGTTACAATTACTATTCAAATTTATAAATATATATTAAAGAAGTATGAAATAAGGAAAAATAGTTTGTCATTTTCAATAAAACTACATGATTTCAGTGTATTATTTTTATATTTTTATATTTTCTACCTCCCTCTATAAATGCCTTCGTGCAGCACCTTACAAACACATAATCTCTCTCAGAGCACAGCACGATTTGCACGCTGTCCTCTGCCTTATTGTTCAAATTACTCCAACCCGTCAACCACAAAAACAGCAACCTTCCACATCTGAGTAAATCACCGAACAAAACCCCATAACCTTTGCAGACGCGACCTCAGCCAGAACCTACACTGAACTCAGAAACTCTTCCAAGCCAAATTCACATCCCGAGACCCAACACTGAAATCAACCACTACAAACAGATCAAAACCACCGGCGGCAACCACCCATCTTAGCCATAAGCCACCACTGAAAACCTCTCTGCACAATCTTCACCTCTTCTTTCGCATTGCTGGAGATACAAAGACTGTTTAAGGTATTTTTTTTTTTTTGATTTTAAAGAAAAATATTATTTTTTTAATTTCACTTTTTTTAAGAATTATTTGACTATTATTGAACTTTTAAAATATTTTTTTTTGTAGGAAAAGTACAATAAAAAAATAGATAAATGTTTTAGATTCTCTGTAATATTATTATGAAAATAATGTTTATCCTTTGAAATGACACAATTTATATCCTTTGAAATGATACAACTTATATTCTTTCATTATCACAAAGTGGTGAAACTCACATCTTTGTTTTTTTTTTTTGTCAATTCTCTTTTCTTTTTTATTTATTTTTTTATTTCTCTTAAAATGATACAACTTTACATCCTTTAAAATGACATAGAGTTTTTCTTATTATTATTAATATAGAAATGATTATACGGGTTATCATCGGTACTGTAAGCATCGTTCCCTTAGTCTGAACCCAACAAAATTATAGATTGAGTTTACAACGAGTTTTGTATTAAGGTTTGTTCTTTGAACGCCAATAATAATAATAATAATAATAATAATAATTATTATTATTATTATTCTATTGCTTGCATGACATGATCAAATAAATTTTTAACTATCAAATAAGTTTCTTTAAAATCCTTATGATTTATGAATTGATGCAATAGTCCTCAATATTGATTATATGGCTTTATAGAATTTTCAATGTCAATCGATTATATACGAATTTATTATATAACTTGATGTTATCTTCAAGCATTTGCATGAGTGAACTTATTTTATAAGTCTACAAAAAAAAAGAATTTATTTTATAAAATAGAATATTGATTATATACTAATATACCAACAATTATTATTATTTTTTAAAAAAATCACGTTAGTTTTAGATTTTCAATGCACTTTCCACCAAAAAAAAGAAAAATTCATTGCACTAACGATATATAAATCGCAAGTCCTGCTAGAATGTAATTTTGTTTTTTAGTAAATCAGTTTTTCTTTTGGCGTTTTGTAAATATTTAGATTTATTTGATGTTGCTTGCTTTGAGGGAGAAAATAGATATTTTTATGTTATTAATTCATTTGTACGATCGATTTGGGGTAATTATTTAAAATAAATATATTAAAAAAGTAGTAAGATTTAATTTTTATTATTCACGGGCATAACCAAACTCTTCAACCTTATTTATAGGACTTTTTCACCCTTTTACCCTTTATTAATTAATTAATAATCATTTTATCCCTGATTCGAAACTATTTATCAATCCGTCCCTCTTTAATCGACTACCTTGCATTTTTAATCGACTAAATGACCAAAACATAAAAAAATGACTGTTGGAAGATTTAGTCGACTAAATCTCCATATTTGACAACAAAGAAAAATAAGTCAGTATGATTTTAATCGATTAAGTAGAGAGATTTAGTCGATTAAATCTCCCAACAACATTTAGTCGATTAAAAATGCAAAGTAGTCGATTAAAGATGGGCAGATTGGTAGATAGTTTCGAATCAGGGACAAAATAGTTATTAATTAATTAATGAGAGGTAAAATGGTCAAATAGCCTTATTTATAGATATGTTCATAAATTAATCTAATTTATCGGAAATAAAAAATCAAAAATTTAAAATCAAATAAGAAAACTGGATTTTTTTATTGAATTGGATCAAACTTTTAATTCTGATTTTAAATATTGATCCAATTCTAACCAAACCAAACTTTTATTTAAGAAATTATCATATATATATATATATATATATATATATATATATATATATATATAAAACATTTGTGCAGTCACTTTAGATAAGCTTCTCTACAACTACTCTTTTTTCACTAAGTACGACTGATCGTACATTAAAATTGCATTTTCTCTCTCCGCCACGTCAGCCGACAATGTCTGAGGAAAGAGAAAAAAAGAACAGCTTTATTGTTATCACTAAGTACGATCGTCGTACTTAGTGAAAAAGTGGCAGTTGTAGACAATCTTATCTAAAGTGGTTGTAAAAATACTATATATATATATATATATATATATATATATATATATATATATATATATATAGGGAAAAACATTTCTTAAGCAGCTTGAGATAAGTTTATCTCCGGCTATCGTAAAACTACGTCGTTTTATTTATTTATTTCCTTATATTAATTGATTCACCTTTGAATGATTATGATTTCCTTTTTCTCTCTCTTCCTTTATCACCATTGATCTATCTTTGTACGGTTATGATTTAGTAGCCGAAGATAAAATTATCTCAAGCAGCTTAAGAAATGATAAGCCTATATATATATATATATAGAAAAAATATTTCTCACACAGCTTGAGATAAGTTTATCTCCGGCCATCCCAAAGCTATTTCGTTTTATTTATTTATTTTCTTATATTAATTGATTCACCTTTGAATGGTTATGATTCCCTTTTTCTCTCTCTTTCTTTATCATCATTGATCCATCTTTGTACGGTTATGATTTAGTAGTCAGAGATAAAATTATCTCAAGCAGCTTGAGAAACGATAATATATATATATATATATATATATATATATATATATATATATATATATATATATATATATATATATATATTTCTATAGCCATTTTAGATAATATTATCTACAGCTACCCTTTATAGCTATGTACTATCAGTAGTATATAGTTATAACGTTAAAGTTGTTGTTTTTTTTTCTCTCTGTTACTTTTCAGAACTTGTCTGTTGATGTGAAAAGAAAAAATACTTTAATGCTATAACTATGTACTACCGGTAGTACATAGTTATAAATGATAGTTGTAGATAATCTTATCTAAAGTGACTGTAGAAATACTTTTTCCATATATATATATATATATATATATATATATATATATATATAGAAAAAATATTTTTTCAAGCTGCTTGAGATGTATTTATCTCAAGTCACATCAAAACTACGTCGTTTTGTTTATTTATTTTCTTATATTAATTGATTCATCTTTGAATGGTTATGATTCTCTTTTTTCTCTCTTTTTTATCATCATTGATACATCTTTGTAATGTTATGATTTAGTGGCCTGAGATAAATTTGTCTCAAATACCTTGAGAAACGAAATGCCCATATATATAAATATATATGTTATATTTACAAACTTTTTATTTACAAACTCTTACAAATTACACTATGTCTGACCGGTCATACTTCAATCAAGAGTATATGACCGGTCAAACTTAATGTAATTTGTAAAAAAAAAATTGTAAACGAATCCTTTCCCTCTAATATATCGAACGCTTTTTTATTTGGTGTGGATACCAAACACTTTACTTGTAGTTTGTTGTTGTCTACACCAATTTTTACAAATTATTTTTTCTATGGCTTTATTCCTTAATTTACATCTTATTAATTTAATGTAATTTATAATTTTTTCAGTTCTAAATTAGTTTGAAATATGTTATTTTGTCTCATGTTTTCTTATTTTATATTTAAAACTTTGAATTAGTTTTTGTTATCTTTGCTATGTATTTTTTGAGTTTATTTATTGCCTCTTTAAAAAAATCAAAAAACGAATCCAAACAAAACTACTTTAGAACGATTGAATAATATTAAGTCGTGTTTGAAATTAGAATAAATCAATGCAATCCAATCTAATTCACCAGCTTTTCGAACTTATGGGCTGGTAAAAAAAAAAAAAAAGACTTTTCAATCCTTATTTATTTTAGAAGTGCCTTTTTATAGAAGGTAAAGTTGTTTAGATTTAAAAAAAAAAATTGTTTTTTTAAAAAAGTATTTAGCTTTTGACTTATGCATTTTTTTATAAGTTAAAAATTTCAGCTTCTAAAAAAATGTAAGTTTTTGTGACTTCTGTATTTTTTTAGTACCTGTTTGGATTTTTTTTTTTTTTTAGCTTTTTTTTTTTTTGGGTAAATAAGCTTTTCTTTTACCTATAAGCAGAATGTAGGCTAAACAAATTTTTACAAAAGCTCTTATAAAAATAATAATTTTTTTATAATAAAAAAAGCAAAAAGCAAAAAGCTCACAAGAGAAGCTTTATTTTTAAGCTCTTATCAGTTTTTATTGAAATGAGGTTTGAGCTTTTAAGTAATTTTTAAATTAAAAATTTTATATATAACCATCAAATAACTTGTAGTTTTTTTTTTAACTTTAGCTTAAAAGTAGCTTTTAACTTAAAAAAGTTCAAATAAACTGTTAAAATGGACATCCAAATAAATTTTGTAATAGAAGTGCTTTTTTTTCAATAAAAAAAAACTTTTTGGCTAAAAAAGCCCATCAAAACATGTTAAATATAAATTTTGTAATATAAATTTCTTGGGTCGTATGGCTATTGCCATTTAGCGTTTGGTAGATAGATTACTTTTGAATTCTCGAAAAATTGGTATTGGGAAACTAATTTATCAATGTTTGGTAGAAAGTTTTTGAAATTTTTTTAGGTAATTTAATTTTCTCAGAATTTTAATTTGTGAATAAATTGTATCGTAAAATGACATCCAAGAATATCACTAGGAGGGTGGTATTTTTGGAATCCCAGGTGTTGGAAAAATTTATATTTAACAATTAATCAACATATAATCAGTAAACTTGAGCCAATATTCTCAATAATATTTTTACTTATTAAATATCATTTTGGTTAGCTTCTCGAAAAATTCACATTCCCAGCATATTCTTGATAATCATGATTCTCGGAAAAAAAAAAAATTCTTCTACCAAACGCTCCATTTTTTATTATAATATTATCTCCTTTATATTTATTTTGTTATTATCATATTTTCGTGGTTATCAACAACTGGCAAGAATTTGATCCAAATTTCCTTTCTTTATATATACATTTGGATCTCAAACGCGCAGGTTAGGGCCCATTCTTGAAGATGAAGGGCATGTGGGATAAATGGAAACCAGCGGTGCTAATGGCGGTGGTGCAGATCACATTTGCTGCTTGCAATATACTCTACAAGCTTACCATTTATGATGGAATGAGCACTATTATTCTTTCAGCCTACCGTCTCGCATTCGCAGCGGTTACCACTATTCCTCTTGTTTTAATTTTTGAGAGGTAAGTGTTTATTTTGAAACTTGCATAAATAAATTTAGTATACTAATTCAACCGTATTACTAATTAAAAGACTATTATTATGATTAGTTATCATGACTAATGATGTGACTGCACTAATAGACTTAATTTAAATTGAAAAGAAACAAACATTATAGTTTCTTTCAACTTGAAACTTGGGCAATAGATTAACTTGTCCTATTGGTTTTGCATTTTTTTATCTGCTATATACAGGAAGAGACCAAACATGACTTGGAAGGTGTTTGGTTTGGCATTTCTCAGTGGATTGTTTGGGTATGTATTACGTAAATTCTACCATTTGCTGCATGTCACAACTTTCGTCGTGTACGTACATTGTTAATTGATGATTCATTAAAAAAACTTATATGAATATATATATATAATGGAACAGTGGAACTTTATTTCAAAACTTATTCTACGGAGCCATGACATTGGCGCCAGCAACCTTGGTGTCCGCACTCTACAACCTTATTCCTTCCATCACCTTTATCTTGGCCATTTCCATCGGGTACGTTTACTCACCTTGGCACTATACTTGATCTTCTTTCTTGAATTAATGTTGAAAATCCCAACAAGACTTGGCTTGATGAACAAAACAAATCTAACTAGGAGAACCCCAAAGGTCTTGGCTTTGGGTATTTAACACCGAATCCATTTAATCAAATAAAAAATTGAGTTAAAACTCTAAAATTGAATAGATTAAAAATTAATTGAATTGAATCATTTTTCAGATTCAAATTTAAAAATTGATCCAATCTAAATCAAACTGAAATCATACATATTACATTTTAAAATGATATACTTTATCTAATTTTTTTCTTCATATTATTCATATTTGTTTTAAAACTTTTTTTTTATTATACCTTAACTCAAACATAATTTGTTTTTTAAATCAAATTAATCAGATCACTTTATAAGAAAATTGATTAAATTGGATGAATTGATTATTATTTTTTTCAAAATCATTTCAATCTAATATGTGAAAACCCTAATATTTTATTATTGTGTATGGAGCAACTTTTCTTCTTATAAATTTCACCAATAAAAAAAGAAGCTAATTGTTTTAGAAAATTTTAACTAACTAATAACAATTAATATTCGAGCAAATAAAAGCTACACAATTTTTTTTGGTAAACAAACCTATACACAGGGGTGCTAAACGAGTCAGGGGCCTTTGGCTCAGCTCGTGAAGGCCTGAACTTACATGACTAAAATTGGTTGTTGGCACATGCTTGAACTTGTATAAAAGTTCGTTTAATAAAAAGGCATCAGCCTCTAATTCAAAAGCTCGGCCTTAGAGTCTCTCAGGCCGACCTAATATATTATTTTTTATTTTTATTTTATATTTTTATACTACTTGCAATAACTCTCTCTTTTTTCTCAATCAATTTCATCTTATTTTATTGGTTAAACAGAGTTTTTGAATGATTTTGTTCTATATTATGCTGTTTGAATATACCTTGAATTTATGAATATTTATGGAATTACTAATGTTATTGATTATATATTCTGTTTGGATAAATTTTTATTGTCTTATTTTTTTAAAACAGACTGACAGGCTAAACTAGGCTTTATTTTTTTTTTTTTGTAAATAAGACAGGCCACAGGCCAATAATTATATTTATAACAGTTAACAAGCTTGGTCAGGCTAACCCATTTAAATACAGGCTTAGCCTTTTAAGAGTAAAGCTCGGCTCGGCTCGTTAACACCCCTACCTACACATTTTTAATTTCACTATTTAGAGTTTAATTTCTTCTATATATATTTTTAGAACTTTAGCATCTAAAAAAAGTAACCATAACTCTATATTCATATCGGAACTAAATTGTAAATTATAGCAATTACAATTAAAATAATGACAAGATAGATCAGGGCTGTAGTCAAATTATTTGTTAGAAATCTCTCCTTCTAACATTCAATTTTTTACTTTTCTTTGAAACCCCTTCATTTTTTAAATTGTCTCTCCATAATATATCTCAACCTTATATCTAGCAAGAAATTGAGAGATCAATAGCCTTAATGAACATTCAAGTGTCTTGTAATTATGTGTTACAAGTCAAGCTGACATATGGAAAATGAAAAAATGACTTAAACTAGTAATATACCCAAATTTTAGAAAGTAAATCAACATAACTATATTTCAAGAAAGGTATGCTTAGCACCACTAGGGATAGCCTAGTGGTGTTGGGTGTGTTTAGTGGATATTAGGTGTGCGGTTCGATTCCCTGTAATGTCCAAAAAAAAAAAAGGTATGCTTAGTCAGGCCAATTATAGGAGAATAAATGTTTACAGATAATTATTATTGGAAATTAAAGTTACTATTACACTCCCTATTTATAATACTCTTGTTTAATGCACTTACCATGTTTCTATAGTTTCGAAAAATTAAATTGGGGAGCAGCAGCAGGAAAGGCCAAGGTGTTCGGAACTATAAGTGGACTTGTTGGGGCAATGGTGCTGGCCTTTTACAAAGGGATAGTATTTGATATTTGGCCTTTTCATTTCAACCTTTATTCATTATTGGACCAAACTGGGCACGAGAACGCTGACCCTGGTAATGAATTGTTGGGTGCTCTAAGCGTCATAACAAGTTGCTTTTGTTTCTCTGTGTGGCTGATCATTCAGGTGAACTTGTTTTCCTATAACCTAGTTGCATATTATATATTTATATATATACATATATATAGAGGTAAAATTATTTCTGCAGCCGCTTTACGTACAACAACGACAGATGTATGGTTATGATTCTCCACATTTAATGCTTTCATCCTTTGTATGGTTATGATTCCCTGCATTTAATGCTTTCAAGTATATATATGACTAGTATTTGATTGCTGCAGGTACAACAGCTGCAGAAATGTAAACTCCATATATATATATATAGTGAAAGATCCGTTTATAATTTTTTTTTATAAATTACACTAAGTCTGACCAGTCATACTCTCTTATTGAAGTATGACTAGTCAGACATAGTGTAGTTTATAAGAGTTTGTAAACAAAAAATTTATAAATATAACATTCCCCTATATATATATATAATAGAGATCTTTCGACTTTGTTACAAGAATAAAAAACCTTACTCCTTAATTCAATTGTTTATTTCTGTGAAGCTGTCATTTGATTTGCGATGTTTCTTGTTCATTGATTAATTACTTTATATTGCACAGGCTAAGATAAATGAAGTATATCCATGCTATTACACAAGCATAGCTTTGATGTGTACAATAGGAGCAATACAATCCATTATTTTTGGTCTTTGTGTTGAGAGGGATTTGAACCAATGGAAAATGGGTTGGGATGTCAGGCTCTTAACTGCGGCGTACTCGGTATACTCATTGTTAACTAGCTAGCACCCTAGTCATGACTTGTGAACTACATTAATATGCTAATTATGAATGATATTTTATGTGAGTTAATGTGTTATTTATAGGGAATTATGGCCTCCGGATTTATGATCATTTTCGTTGCATATTGCATACGAGTAAGAGGCCCTTTATTTGCATCTTCTTTCAACCCTCTAATGCTTGTGCTTGTGGCTATCGTTGCTTCTTTGACGTTGGATGAGAAATTATATTTGGGAAGGTATGCACTAAATTTTTTTCCCACCTAAATATAAATATAAATATTCATAATTATATATATATATATATATATATATATATTGCTGGCCTTGGCATTCATGAATTAATTCGATTTTATTTTGATTTTTATATTATCGATAGTGCGATTGGATCGGTGCTGATTGTGGTTGGACTATATGCGGTGCTATGGGGTAAGAGCAAAGAAATGCAAAAGATGACTCAGTCAAATCCATCAGAAACCACTGGAGATTCCGAAGCTACGAGGCCATTGCTGGATCCATGATGGACTGATAGTAGCTTGTTAAAATTGCAAACTTTCCTATGCACCGTTTCTAAAAATAGGCGTTATTGTATTGTAGTTGTCCTTGTACTAGGTGTCATTGTATTATTCTATTGTTGTCCTTGTAATACTCTTCTACCGCTTAGACAACCATGTGGCTTAATTATTGTCCATAGTACTAGATGTCATGAAACAGATGGATGAAGACAAAAAATGAAGAGGTGGAACAGTTTCAGTTTCAGTGGCTGATCTCTTATATATAACATATGTTTGTAATATGAATGGTATGTGAATAAAAAATTAGAATTGTTAAAAGGAAAACAAAGAGTTGTCGTAGCACTGTTGAAGAGGAAAAGAGAAGAGCGGTTGTGTGATTTTATAATATTAGTGTAGCATTCGTCTTTGTTATTCTTATTTTTCATTAAATTTCAAACACGTGGTATCAGAGTCACGGTCGATCAAAGATAGCGAAGATAATTGAACCCCAAATTCCAAAATTGACAAAGTCAAATTATGTCAACTGGAGCACTCACATGAAGACACATCTAGGTTCACAGGATGTCTGGGAGCTCATTGAAAATGGATACGTGGAGCCCGTAGATGCAGCAGCTGAAACAGCCATGACAGATGCGCAGAGAAGGACACTCAAAGAAACACGGAAGAAGGATAAGAAGGCTTTATTTTTAATTTTTCAAGGAGTTGATGAATCAACCTTTGAAAAAATTTCAAATGCAAATTCATCCAAAGAAGCATAGGAGATATGCAGAAATCCTGCCAAGGAGCTGACAGAGCCAAAAAGGTGCAGCTCCAGTCGCTATGAGCTAAATTTGAAAATTTGAAGATGCAAGGTGGAGAATCAATGACAGACTATGTCTCACGGGTGCAAAAGGTGGCCAAGGAGATGAAAATAAATGGAGAAGCCTTAGATGATGTGAGAATCATCGAGATGGTCCTTCGGTCTTTAACAAGAAAGTTTGATTATATCTTCACTGCCATCAAAGAAGTTAAAGATTTGACGGTGATGTCTTATTGATGAGCTTGTGGGCTCTCCTTAAGCTTACGAGCAAAGAATGAATTTGAACGAGGGCTCTAGCAATTTGGAGCAAGCTATGCAAAACAAGTTATCTCTTAATGGAAACCAAGCAAGCATTAACTTTATATGCGACAGAGGAAATCATGGTGGATATAGAGGAGACTACAACTCCCGAGGTGAATTCAATACTCGAGGTGGTCGTGGCAGACGTCGTGGATATGGCCAAACGAATAGAAGATTTCAGACTGATGCAATAGCATATGGATGTGATAAAAAAGTTTATAATCGTGGCCGAGGTCGTGGTTTCGTGGCCCGAGGAGGAGGAAGATTTCAACAAAGAAGTGATAAACCTCACTTGCAGTGTTATAATTGTAACAGGTATGGTCATCTTAGCTATGAATGTAGAGATGCTGCTAAAATTGCGGAGAGAAGTCATTACACAACAAATGAAGAGAAAGCTGATGAACCGGCTGTAATCTTATTCACTTATAAAGGCGATGAAGATAGTAGCAAGTACCTTGATACTGGAGCTAGTAATCATATGTGGCAAAAAGAAGTTATTCGCAGAGCTGAATGAAGAAATTCAAGGAGAAGTCACTTTTGGAGATCTCTCAAAGGTTCCAGTCAAAGGCAAGGGAAAGATTATGATTTTTACGAAGAATGGAGGTAAGACTTATATTTCAGATATTTATTATATTCCATCCTTGAAAAGTAATCTCCTCAGTATAGGCCAGCTTCTGGAGAAGGGATATGATATACACTTGAAAAATAACACTCTTGTCATAAGAAATCAAAAAGGAAAGTTGATTGCAAGAATCGATATGACGAAAAATTGCCTTTTCAAGCTGAAAATCCAAACGGAAGCAATAAGGTGCATGAAGTCCTTCACAAAAAATAGTTCGTGGTTGTGGCATCTCAGATTTGGTCATCTTGGATTTACTGGCCCAAAGCTGTTGTCCAAAGCAAAGATGGTGAGCGAATTGCCACAGATAGATCATCCAGATCAGCCATGTGAGTGTTGTATGAGAGGAAAACAACACAGACAAAGGTTGAAGTTGACAAATCATGGAGAGCCAGAAGACCATTGCAGCTGGTTCATTCAGATATTGCTGGCCCATTTGACATTCAATCACTTGGAAGTAACAAATATTATATCACCTTTATTGATGATTTTAGCAGGAAAACACGGGTATATCTTCTCAAAGAAAAATCAGAAGCCCTTGATAAATTCAAAAAATTCAAAGCAATGGCAGAAAAGCAAAGCGGACAATATTTAAAGATGCTCAGAACAGATAGAGGAGGAGAATATACTTCCAAGTTGTTTAATGAATTTTGCAGACAACATGGAATAGTTCACCAGTTAACAACTGCCTACACTCCATAACAAAATGGCGTTGCAGAAAGAAAGAATCGCACAATTCTTGATATGGCGAGAAGCATGCTCAAAGAAAAACAACTGCCAAAACCATTATGGGCAGAAGCTGTTCAATATGCTGCCTATTTACTAAACCGGTGTCCAACAAAGAGCGTGCAGTTCAAAACTGCAAATGAAGCATATAGTGGCAAGAAATCAGAAGTAAGTCATTTAAGAATTTTTGGTTGCATAACATATGCCCATATTCCAGATCAAAGGACAAATAAGCTAGATGACAAAGGAGAGAAATGCATTTTCACTGGCTACGACCTTAGGAGTAAAGCTTACAGACTCTACAATCCTCTGATCGAAAAGGTGATCATTTCACGAAACGAAGAGTTTGATGAGGCGGATTATTGGAGATGGAGTGATTAAGAAAAGAAAGTGGAAGGCCTATTCTTGAAAATGTGATGATGAATCAGAAGATCAGACAGTTCAAGAAGGAAACGACCAAACTCCTCCACCAAGTCATATGCCAACAACTTCTTCATCTGTTAGTAGCAGTAACAGCAACAATTCAGGGGGAGCAATAGCAAAGATGAGAAGCTTGAGTGATATTTATGATGCTACAGATCCGGTACGAACTACACTTGATTATTCATTATTTTGTTTAATGGCTGAATGTGATCCAGTGACATATGAGGAAGCTGCAGAAGATGAAAAGTGGAAGAAAGCCATGAATGATGAAATTGTTGCAATCAAAAGAAATGATACATGGGAGCTTACAACTATGCCTGCGGGTCATACACAAATCAGAGTAAAGTGGGTGTATAAGACAAAGACGAACAAAGAAGGAAAAGTGGAGAAGTAAAAAGAGAGATTGATGGCCAAAGGCTATAAGCAGAAATATGGTGTTGACTATGAAGAATTTTTTGCACTAGTTGCACGAATTGATACTATCAGGTTACTCATTGCAGTTGCAGCACAACAAAAGTGGAAGATATACCAGATGGATGTGAAATCAGCTTTCCTCAACGGTTACTTGGAAGAAGAAGTTTATATTGAGCAACAACAAGGATATATCCAAAAAGAGGAGGATCATAAATTCTATAGTTTGAAGAAAGCACTGTATGGATTGAAGCAAGAGCCAAGAGCATGGAACATGAGAATAGATGAATACTTTTAGAAGAATGGATATGTGAAGAGTCCACATGAACATGCTTTGTACAAAAAGAAAAATAAAGATGGAGATATAATGATCGTGTGCCTCTATATAGATGATATGATCTTCATAGGAAATAATCCAGATATGTTTGATGAAACTAAGAAAGCTATGACTAAAGAATTTGAAATGACAGATATTGGAGAGATGTCTTACTTTCTTGGAGTTGAGATGAAACAAATGGAGGAAGGAATTTTCATATCACAGAAAAAATATGCAGAGGAGATTTTGGGAAAGTTCAGAATGAAAAATTGAAAGTCAGTCTCTACACCAATTAAAGCAGGGATGAAGCTCAAAGTTGATTCAGATAGAGAGCCAATAAATTCTACACTATACAAAAGCCTGGTCGGAAGCTTAAGGCACTTGACTTTTACTTGACCAGATATTTTGTTTGCAGTTGGTTTAGTTAGCAGATACATGGAGCAGCCAAAGCAAGATCACTTCAGTGCAGCAAAAAGAATTTTGAGATACATCAAAGGAAATATTTATCATGGCTTATTTTATACACAGTCTGCAGAGTCAAAATTAATTGGCTATTCAGATAGTGATTATGGTAGAGATGTAGATGATTAAAAAAGCACATCAGGATACGCATTTCATATTGGCTCTGCAATACTTTCAAGGTCATCAAAGAAGCAACAGACAGTCACTCTTTCATCGTATGAAGTAGAATATATGGCTGCAGCAACGTGCACATGTCAAGCATTTTGGCTGAAGAATATTTTGAATGAGTTGCATAAGGAGAAAAAAGGTCCAATCAACATATATGTGGATAACAAATCAGCTATATCACTTGCAAAAAATCCAATCTCCCACAGCCGAAGCAAGCACATTGACACAAAGTATCATTTTATACGGGAGCAAATCAAGAACAAAGTTGTATTCAGCAAATTCAAAGAAATGATTGGAATGCAAAGATAAGTTTGAGGGGGAATGTTAAAATTGCAAACTTTCATATGCACCGTTTCTGAAAATAGGTGGCATTGTATTATAGTTGTCCTTGTATTAGGTGTCATTGTATTATTCTATTGTTGTCCTTGTAATACTCTATTATTGCGTAGTCTTGGGTGTACAGCCATGTGGCTTAATTGTTGTCCTTGTAATCGGTTAATAATGAGTCATAGTAATAGATGTCATGAAACAGATGGATGAAGGCAAAAAAACGAAGAGGTGGAATTATTTCTATTTCGGTGGCTGATCTCTTATATATAACACATGTTTGTAATATGAATGGTATGTGAATAAATAACTAGAAATGTTAAAAGAAAAACAAAGAGGTACCGTAGCACTGTTGAAGAGGAAAAGAGAAGAGCGCTTGTGTGAAAGTTTCTTTTATAATATTAGTGCAGCCTTCGTCTTTGTTATTCTTATTTTTCATTAAATTTTCAACAAGTAGCTCATGATAAAATATGACCATAAATAGTTATCACAACCAAACCCAATACTATCAGGAATGCTTTTAATGATCATGACGATTTGTCAAAAACATGGACGGTGAAGAACATGATATTCACAATAATAGCAAAGAATAAGTTCTCTCCTAAGAAAGTAGAATTTTATATTAAGTGCTGAGGATGTAGAACATATATATGTGGTTGATATATATACCATGTCCATTTCCGGTTGCGATTTCTTGTGTCTTCTTTCTTCAATTTTTTGCTTTTTTTTTAGTAATGGTGTCACATC